TGGCAGGGGTGCAGCCAGGCCGCGATGGCCCCTCTCGTCCCTTTCCTCCGCGCAGCCAGGGACAGAAAGACCGCGGAGCACATGTGCGCGGGGACAGGCTGGGCCCTGCCCGCCTCTGCCCTGCCCAGAGGCCGCCGTGCGGCAAGGCGGGCGCCCCGGGGCTGCGCGGCCGGTCGGGAGCAGACTCCGGCCCGCTCCGTAAGGGCACGGAGAGAAGGAAAGACGAGACAGGTGGGGCAGCGCGGGGCTTTTCATTGTAGTTGAGTGTCCTTGTCTGGAGCTGAAAGGGCGCCCGACCACGATCTCCGGGAAGCAGAAAGAAGTAGTTGGCCCTGATAGCCAGCGGCCAGGCAGAAAGGAAGGTCGGGATGTACCTTGCAGACGATCTGAATCGGCGATCTCTCTCTCCATCAGATTCTGGCATTATTTAATTAATTCTTCATTGAGAATCCCTCTGGAGGTGCCTCAATAAAAAACCCTCTCTGCATTTGGAGCTCATAAATTACATTGGTGGGGGGGCGAGCAAAACCCCATTGGAAAAATGTGTTGCCCGTCGATGAGATTATTAAATAATAATCCAAACGCAGTTTTTTTTTATTTTAAAAGCCACCGTTCGCAGCCGTTGATTTGCTGGGAGGGCTGGTGAAGTGAGCTCTTGCTCACAAAAGCTTATCCATCTCTGATTCAGGTGGCCCCGTGATTCTCCAGTCCAGTAAGCAACCCCCCTGCGTGCCTGGAGATTATTTTAGGGTGCTGCCACACAATGTTCCCACTCTTAAACATGTAAATGTGATTCACAAATTAAACTCAGAGATTACAGATCCAGGAATTCATGGTGTTAAAACGATTTTGACTTTCTGTGGTCTTTTTAAGTTCTCTGCAACAGAAGAACTGCTTTATTATTTTTCTGTAGTCAAAAAACAAGTGAAAACTAAGAGCTGACATTTTCCAAGGGGTGCGTTTAGTTAAGGAGGGGTGCCTTGAATCTAAAAGGGTGGAGACTTAGTCTATGAAGTGCATCTCTATTTTGTCTTCTGCCTGATCTTTAAAAAATCTATTACAATTTAAAGTATTAGCATTAGGACTGTATTGGTTGAATTAAAAACTGATTGAAAAGAAAAGGAAAGAAAATATTACATAGAAAATATATTTGTTATTGTAAGCAATGAAGTATACTTCCACTTTCCTGTGCTCCTAATGATATACATGAAAGCATCATTAAACACCAAGAGATATTTGAGTTCAAGGTTGAGTAATAATAAAAACAGCAACTACTACTACGTATGTTCATTTAAATAGACTTGTTGAATGTACTAACATGTTATCAGTGATCATGGTAATGATAATAATTATTTCTCATCTCAGATTAATCCCTTCCTTTTTTTTCTTTTCAAGCAAAGAAAAATAGGCCGTACTGAGATTAGAATATAATTATATCCACTTTCAACAGCAACAACTTTTATTTAATGCCTGAGTGAAAGAGCCAACAGCACTGGCTTACTAAGACTTCCTTTCCTTGTAATTTTTCCCCCTTCTGGCAAACGCTTAATTCAAAATGAGGAACTAACACTGAAGCCCAGAACTTTCAAGGGTCTTTGTAAGCTTAGGCTGTCCCTGCAGAAACTACAAGGGTTTTTGTTGTTGTTTGCTTACTATTTAAGCTCATTATTTTGTACCCTGTCATTATAAGAAAATTAGCTCATATACAAGACTATTGTAAAATCAATTCTTACCCCAAGGATCATATATAACTACAGCTCTGCAGATGGAGATGCTCTCCCTGTGAGCACAGTATCTGGGAAATGTATGGCAAAAAGGCTGTCTTGCTCAGTCAAAATGATCCATGAACTGGATATTTTGTCTGCATAAAAACTATTATTTCTATTTTGTTAGCTGTTCTGTCTGATTGCTGAATTCTGCACTGTACTGTATTCAACAATTCCTGACCCAGCGATCATACCATGTAATGGCTGAGAAACACACAGGATAGTCCATAATGTGTATATATGCATATTAACATTTTGAAATCGATGTGCTTAAAGTTATGTGCAGATGTATAGGGACATAATCCATCCCCAAATCCACTTATTGTAATAGAAATCAGAATGCAAGAATCTTACTAATTCACACTAATGAACACAAGACCCCATTACAAAATATGAAATATTTTGAATTGCAAAATAAATTAACAAATACAACAAAAAAACAGAAGAATGCATCAACAGATATACGTTTTTCTATTTATTCTGACAATTACAGAGCCTGGCTTTAAGTACAGTACAGTATATTTTGTAAAAACTATTTTTGTAAAATTAACAAAATCTCAGCAATGCAAGTCCTATCATGATAACTTTGCTATCAAGCCTTTCCTGAGAGGTGTTTAGAGATTGACAGGGTTGTTGTTTTTTTTCCTATGAGGAATATAAAGTGTGTGGAACAGACAAACACAGATTAGAAAGGTTGTGGGGGCGTGTAGCAAATATCCATGGAGTAAAACCTACTACACTGGAACAGCCATTAGTTGCACTCCAGTTTCAGTGATAATTACACCCCCATTCAGTGAGGTACTTAAGCACATACCTATGGGTAATTCTAGTGATTTAACAGGGACTATTTATATGCTGAAAATTATGTATGTGCTTAAATACTGTGATGAATCAG